CACTCCAGTCCCCCCCCCCCCCCATAGCTCTGTGAATCATTTTAGCATCTTTAAGCTCTTTGTTTTGGTTTTATGATGCTAAACTTTACTGTGTTGGTTCGTTCTCATTATCATGTCGTACACTGATATACACTACCTGCTTAGCAAACAGTTAGCGACTTGTAAAGGTAGTTATTGCTATAAAATAAAAAGAGAGAATACTGGATTTACATTTATCAGGTATATACCGTGTTGGGGAGTAACTAGTTACTGTAATTAAATTGCAAAGTAAATATTGTAATCAGTTGTGGTAGTATGAAAAAATATGTAATTAAATTATAGTTACTAATCAAAATATTGGTGATTACAAAGGGGTTACCTTTGGCTTATTTCCAGACATGTTACAATGTATTATGTAACTGAAGTTATGTTGAAGAACCTTAAACAAAGGTTTGACAGTAATAAGTGCTGAGTTCTGTTATCAAAGGTTATCTGGCAGAGAAATATTAACTTTCAGAGAGAAAGAAACATAAGAATAAAAGAGAGATAATAGCAGTTTAAGGCTTTCCTCAGTTTCAGCTCAGTCACATTAATGATAAACTTGTGCAAATGAGCACTCTTCAAAGTCTTCCTTTCTACTGCACACACACTTTGAGTATTATCTTATTATTCCTCCTCTGACTGTGGTGTGTCTCAGACTCCTGTGGTCTGGCAAGTGTGAGAAGACGCAGGCCTCTCCTTCAAACAGGCACATGACTCCACTTGAACATCATGTTTCACTGCTGTCTTTTGTCTTTTTAAGATGAGCCAGACACATCAAGAGCCTGGATAAAGGAGCTGTATATAGATTTGATTTATGGGTCTGAGTAAAGAATCTTTTCAAAGTTTCTAGGACAGAATTGTTACACAAGTGTCCAAATAGATTAGAAATGTGGTCTTAAGTGCCATCAAAGAAGTTGTTTGTTGTCAGGACATTTAAAGCACTGGTCAACAAACGGAAATGAAATATGTTGTGAAGGAAAGACTTGGAATTTCATGTTAATCTAACTTTGCATATATGTGTGTGGGACCTACAGAGGTGAAAGGTCATTTAAGGTTATCCTGGGGTCATGAGAGGACCATACACAAGTACACTTTGGTGGGGTGTCTTATCTAATATCAGTGTTTCTCTCACCCACTTGGTTGAATCTTTATGCCTTTTTTCATATCAGATGACTTGGTGTTTGTGTGTGCGCCATGCTCAGGTTTGGTAGTGTGTTCTGGCAGACAAGGAAGAGGCAAACAGCCAAATATAGAAAGAGGAAGTTGGTATATAACATGCTAGAATAATACAAATCAACTATGAGCAGGAAACAACAGATAAAGGAAGACAGGAAGGAAAGTTGTTGTTTCCTTCCCTCCTTTATGCCCTTGTTAATATTGGTATTAATAGCAATGGCAGAAAAACTACAGCTACCGCCTTTATTCTAATGTCTTTCTAGACTCTTTTTGAGTTTTCTGAATCCAATAATTTTACTTTTTGTAATTCTCATTGGTGTGTAATCCATAAAGATGGACATTAACCAGCCTCTTTATGAAAGAACAAATAATTAAGACATTGCAAAGACTGCTGTTGCTCTGCCAACTTCCACTTAGAACCACTAGGTTGATTTTGGAAGGAAATCTATTGGACTGCTTTATGGCACAAAAGAAACATGCCCCATGTCTGAAAAACGCTAGCACGCAGTACACTTTGCCTATATTTGACGCGTGTGCTTTGATTAAAAAATAAAAATAAAAAACCTTGCAGTTACAAGGAGAGAGAAGATGTGAGAAGAAGGTTTTTTCTGTACCTGCACATGGTGGTAAAGCTTTCAACACCACCATCGCTTCCTAGCTTGGGTCTGGCTCCTGTGTGTGAGAAGGAGTGAAACAATCAGCCCAACAGATAACAATGTGTTTACTCTACTTCCTCCACAAACCGAAAGAGCCACAGGTGGATGAAAACACATGGAGAGAGTGAAACAACACAGGTGCAGTTCATTGTTGCCTGGCAGACAAAAGCAGCTTTAACTTTTCCTTCCTGTTGGTTTTCAGAATGCTCAGAACAAAACTATACAAAACAATGCTTTTGTGGATTTTCAAAACAAAAGCTTTATATTTTTGGTCTGTTCTTTACTCATGTCTTCTTCTGTGAAACCTGCGTTTGTGTGTCCACTTAAAATGTATGTGCATGAGAATACTGCTATAATGAAACGCACACACCCACAGAGGTATAATGAAGACAGATGAGACAGCGCACACACTTCTCCGCACCTCTTGGTTATTGATGAGCCTGAGGGGTCAAAGGTTACAGAAACACCAACTGAGTCTGTGTAACTTTCACTTTCTCCCCTTTGTCATTGCACTTTTTAAGGATAAGAACAAAAATGTCTTTAAATTGTTCAGTTTTCTCACTTTTTCTCTACATTTTTATTTCTACTTTTCACTTTTCTTTTGCTCAACTCTCACTTTCTGCCATCATTTTTCTGTCCTTTTCTTGCTTCCTACTGACAACATATTACTGCACTACTACTAAAAATATTAACAAAATAAACTCCACTGCTTTTTAAAATCTCTGCATCTCATTCTTTTTTGTTTTCCCTGTCCCTTCTCCTCTTCTTTACAGCTTTCCAATATCTTTGCAACACGTATTCCTCTAATGTAGCCCATAACCCCATAGCTAATACACAGTATGTAGGTATTAAGCTATGGTAGGTCACTGGGCATGCTAATGTTTGCAGCTAATGTCAGAGCGGATAAACACATGGTTTAATCCAATCCTTACACCACTGCTTGCGTGTTTTCTCCTCTCCATGCACATTGTTTTGGCATTTGAATCCAAAACCTATCTTATTATTTTGCTAAGCTATGATTAGACAATCCCTGTTTATAGATAATAGTTAATTACATGTAAAAATTTGGACTTTTGTTTGTTTTCGAGCACCGTCTCTACTGGTCATCATATACCATTTTAACATGACCATTAGAATGACTTGTGCTCTTTTTGTCATAATTTGTCTTTGACTACTAAGTGGGGAATCAATTTATGCAACTTTGAACACCTGGAGGTCAGAGCTTCTTCTTTTATTCCCAACAGCACAAGATATGCCAGAAAATATTTGTTAAAGTAACTTGATTTAAAACTGGAAATATCCCCTGAGCTGCAGACAACCACAATATTCATCTTGCTAGATGCCTGTGGTCTGGACCTCTGAAACCCCTCAACCCTTCTCTTCCTCCATTCTCCCATCTCTTCATCTCCTTCGGTTTTCATTCACAGTGATTTTTACTAATACTCCCCCTAAAATAGCTGTGGCCTGACCAGCAGCTTCTCTTTCTTTCTGAAAGAAGACTACTGTGTGTGAGTGTGTGGGTGAGTGAAACCCTGCCAGTTTTTCATTCCTTTTTTGTTCCTGACCACATAAGAAGAAAGCTGAATTATAATGGGGCCCATTATTAAAGTTTAGCAGAGACCTGATAGCTCTGCATTTTGGGCTTTGTTATAATACGTGCGTGTTTGTTGGATTTTTTCCCCCTGGTACAGTCAATACAAAAACATTAGAACATTAACGTGTCGGACGGCATTACTGTAATTGTCGTTTTAGATCTGATTCGATACAGACCTCTCTGGGGAAATTTTCAGAAATGTGTGTGCGCATGCAAAAGGGTAAATGTGAGAGATTTATCCAGCTGGGAAACTGACTGATCTATTCATACATACTGATAGGGTGACAAATGAAAATAAAAACCAACATAAAGTATCTTAATAAGGTGCTGGGCCACCACGTGCTACCTTGGCACTGATAATACAAGTCTCTGAACTCTGGAGGGATGAACACTGTATTTGTTCACTCAAAATGTAATGACTGGATTTTGAGCATTGTTTTAACTTTAGATTTTTGGGGGGAGAAGCAGGGTATGGCCCACGGAACAATCGATTAGATTTTGGTGCTGCTCCGGATCATCATCCGAATCCAAGAATATTTTAAAGAAAAGGCTGCTGACTGTATGTGAGAGTCCCCCTTGTGGCCAAAAGGCACAGCTGTGCTGCTCTAAAGTGGACTTACATGCAGCCAAATGGTGCAAGTTGTGTGCGTCACTGAAGGACTGTCAATACTCAAACCACTCAGGTCAAGAAAATCAAGAAAATGACAGCATTCGGGGTTTATTGAAATGACCAATGTCAACAGTGACTTGACAATGGCCACATAAATTGTAGCGCTTGTCCATCAGGGGAAAAAATTGTACTAGCATGATGTTATGAGAACAGCACTAAACCTCACAGGGAGGAAGTTGTAGAGGACAGAGTTTATGGACATTGTTTAACTGTGATCTAGGGGGAGACTTTTTACGGTAGTTGTACTACCATAATAGGCCACTGAGGCAACAAGGCTGATTCACTGCTCATAAAACTTCTGTAAATCTTATTTTTTTTAGCCCAGCTGTGGGATACCATCCCAGTTTACTGCCCAGTGCACCCCATCCTTAATTACCTTCTACTTTCAGGGGTGACAGTGATGTGATTTTCTTTCTCACAATGATCTCACACCACATTCCTCAGGTTCTCTCCTGGTCAGCTTCTTCTATCGCAAAGTAAATGTTAGCTTCCTGATGTTTTGCTCAGCCTGCATAAAGAAACACAATCAAGAATACATTAACAAGCATGTTCCAAAAAACTATTTAAAAAGAGGTTTAAATAGTTTCCATTCCTAAACATTCTGCTGTTTAATTGTTGAGCAAATTTTAGAAAAAAAATTGACAAAATGGTTTGTTGTCCTTCCTGTGAACAAGAATAGTTCCCTGAGGCAAACATTAAAAGATGAGCAAAAGAGAAACACACACACACTTGAGTCATTGAGCCCAGATGTCTTCATTCGCCTTTTCACCTATGTATAAACAGAACTGCTGAAGCCAGAACACTCATAAAACTGGATTTAACCTGAAGACACACTCATGAACCATTACACTCATTTACACAAAGCATTATCATGAACTCACCTGACTGTTTACACTCTTTGACATACACCCACACACCATGTTGACTCAGTGAACTGTGTTTCTAGCTCACAGCAGTGTGTCATCATGGGAAACTGGGGCTACATGTGTTATGTATAAACCTAGTTAAGTACAAGTGTACGTCACAATGTTTGTGGCAAATGGATTTATGGCTGTACACACACACACACTCATTCACTGTGCCCCCCTGTGCAGTGCAGACTAATAATTCTGGGAAGTGTGTACGGCCTTGTTGGCACCACGCGGCGTGACTGTCAGCAGGGGATCTGACGCGGTGAGGACTCAGGAGAAGACAACTTCTTGCTAGTAAATAAATGGATACAACTCAGGTTTTCAAAGTTTTTTGTGTTTTATGAAGAAATTCAGTCAGCACGTTTTAACGGATCTCAAAAAATACACAGTGAATTTTGGTGAGTAGCACTAAATGTAAACAAAGAGCGTTATTACAATTCATCCTTAAGGTGGCATGAATGTCTGGGGATCACCGCAGTCAGTAGGATTCCTCCTCTGAGGACCATGAATGTTGATCCATACAGTTGGGATACGTGTGGACTGAAGCAGTGGATTGGCTGACTGATATTGCCACACAGCTGGCACATCTAAAAACGTGATAGTACAAGACTAAATGTGAAAGAAACAAAAGAAGCAAAGAGGCAATAAAGAAACATGAGCAAAAAAACTAAGAGGAGTGGAAAGAAAGTGGTTTCAAATATAAAACCTACATATTAAAACAGTAAACATACTCAGTTTTAGACTCATCCTGAAATAAAAAACATGGAACTTGTATATTAGTATAAAACACATGTAAAGAACATTTTTCACCCAAACAAACAGGAACATAAAGAACCCTCACAAGAACAAATAAATGGCATTAAAGAAGCATCTACAGACGTCTGGCAAGCCCACTTTTTTCTAACTCCCCAGTCTTTCATTTTTCTAATTTCCGCCCTGATCGATGGCTTGAGGCAACATACAGCATCAGAATTCAATGCAGCTCCTTTCGGAGCCACAGAACCTCTTTCACATCTGCAGTAGTTTCCCCAAAAACCTAAACAGATTATGATGTTGAAAATTCCACTTTAAGTGAAGGACCAGAATCCTTATTCCACCCCTGATCTGTCAGGGTTGAAAAGGTTAAAAAAGTATCCAGTACATTTTACGCAGACCAGACTCCATCTGCTGTAAGCCAAACTTGCCAGATTTAATTTGTAAATAGCTTGTTCTCCATCAACACATAATAGCAACCCTCTGGGACTTTTGGTAATTCCCTGCCTCTGATTGTGTTTTTGGAACACCTGCAAATCCAAAAACAGGAAACCGCAAACAGCAAGCGGATGATGCAGATATCTTGAAGTTCACTTGGACACAGATTTGTATATGGGTGACTGATGATTTCTAGGGGTTAATCACAAATCTGACCGTTCTGCCTGTAAATCATTGCATTAGCGTGAATCTTACTGTAAGTCTGCGATCTGTGTGTGTGTTCATATTCACTTCCTGTGTCCTGCTAAGCCGTGTAAAGCCCAAGCTAAACACCTCGGCTGTGAAAGGTTGTTCCAGGGGCAGAGGAAATTGTAAATACCCTTCTTAACAAATCTCACATGCATCAGAATACACACACTCGGTGACACACTTTGATGCTGACTGTCATACACCCACACAGTCTCCACATATGCTCCCTGTGTGTATGTGTTTAGGTAAAGTGTTAAAAGCTTAAACGGACATAGATGTGGAATGTAAAGATAAGGCCTCTTTGTTTATACAAAGAAACACACACATACTTGTACCAGAGCCACACAAAAGTGGTAATGATCTAACTCACACACATAACAATGTTAACAGGCTGAGCAGCACCAAAGATTCCCATCCCTGCCCGGAGTGAGAACAGTGGAAGTCTAACGCATTATACAAGAGTTCGTGACCTTGTAATGGACTGGATGAGGTAATCTCGACTCCAGCGGAGGATTTTCAGGAGAACTGTGTTTCGGTTTATGAACGTGTGCAGCTGGTCTGAGCTTCTGGTGAACTCAGTCACCATAGCCAGAGATATATCAATAGAATGTGAATCAGCTTTGAATCACAACTGCTTTTACATCATTAAATCTGCTTTAGATTTAGTTCTGGACTCACGACTCAAACCAAAACTCATTAAATTTTAACTGAACAAGACCTAAGGATGAAAAACTCTTTTACTGACCCCAAAAGCTAAATGTCCATAACATATCTGCAGCAAATTGAATGAGCTGTTTATGTGCGTATATCTGATATATAGTTATATCTATTATCAGTGTCTGTGGAATATATGGACTTTGCAGTATAGTACAGAATATACCAGTTACTACTAGTGTTTTCATATAAAGTATTTTTTATGAAATATATCTGAATGAAGCACACAACAGGTGAAGTCTTGATATTAAATATATAATTTTGTCAGGTAAAGAATACAACATATGTGCATCTATCATTTGACTCAAATATATATGTAAAGACATGACTTTATGTACTGTATATACTCTCTGTAACTCATTACCTTTATACACTGCATTTTTAAAGGAAGAAACATCTTTGATCAGTAGAGATTAACATCGCTGTCCAGCGCCTTACTTTGAGTTTACAGTAAGTGACTCAAAGACTGAAGATGGTGGACCGCTGTAGGTCGTTCTGACAAAAAGTGCTCTCAAGTTAAAAACAGAAATGACAAAGCAGTATTCTGAGACCCCTTTTGACAGGTCCCCTTCAGCTGGATGTTTTATTTTTTACAATTACTGCAGCAATTCCTCAAATTAAACAACAAAACATGATGTTTGTCTATAGTTACACACTGTCGGCCAGCCAACTTTCAGAGATCAACCACATTTTTGTATTACCACTTCAATATAATCTATCATCACATATATACAGTATCACATGCATGTGTTTTAAAAGCCCTTAAATATTTCAGGGGTATTTTACTCTGTGATTATGGTTTTCTTGTTGTTGACAGCAGAGCCCATTAAATCTAAATATTGTACCCATAATCACAGTAAGGAATTTCTGCTTGGGTATTAGTGATATAATGCAGTTTTGACTGTAACAAACATACAATCCAATATAACCACAGATTACATGTGGTCAAACACTGGCCAAGAGCTGAAACAATGTTGAACTAATGAGACAAATGTGCGCTAGGCCACTTTTTCATTGACCTCTATATTTATTGCGAGACAAGGTACTAGTTTTCAGAGCGTTGGCTTCTGTGCCACAAAAAGGGTTCTTATATAACTAATGTAAATTGACATTAAGAGAGTGGTTTGTCCACTAAATAAAAGCTCCAGACGTAAAACGCCTTTAACCAATCCATGATCTGACTGAGGAGTTGCCAAGAACAATGTTTAAATTACAAATTTAAGTTTCTATTTAAGTCTCTATCTCTTTATTGTAATATAAAGAACAGATGATGGTTCTGTCCATTTGCAGTGCAGCGACGCTGTCCATGGTGCTGACACTCCCAATATCTCACCTAAAGAGAATTTTTATGTAGCTCTGATTCCACAGACTGCGTGACGTGTGATTTTGTCGACATAAATATACGGAGTCTGCACTCACTATACATAAAGCCCTTAAAAAAACATCACAGAAAACGTTACTGTTCACTCTGGGCATACTTATAATGCAAAGGGTAGGCAAATTGCATCTCTTGAGGAAGCTCTGGTGATCAAAAGCACCAGAGTGGCTAATGAATGGATAGTGTGGTGAGTAGGTTATGCCACATGGCCCAGCGGTGGGAGAAACCACTTTGCGTGGTTCCAATAAAACACAGAAAACTGACATGACCTGATGCTGCTTGTCCCTTTAAATCCCTTTGTCATGTGTTCCACTTTATTCACAAAAGGCACAAAAATTTCACAAGAAAAAGACAAATATATAATAAAAAATAGAACTATAATACAGAAATAATAAACACAAAGACAATGCTGTCACTGTTGACCCTCTCTTTCCAAATAACTCTTTCCTCCCCTCATGCCAATCAGTTGCCATGTAATTCTCCTCCACTAGGCGGCAGCATTGAGCTGCTATCAAAGAACAAGTGTGAATGTGGGAGAAAAGGAGAAAAGGTAAGAGAAAGAGTGAGAAGGTTCTGGTTTTCTTCAGTTAAATACCTGAAATGGGCACAGAGGATGCCCCCTGAGACTTATTGTTAACTTGGACCTGTGGGGAACTAGGGAATAAAGGAGGGAAGAAGGAGAAGGAGAAAAAGTGAAGACAAGAGAAAAGGGAATGAGCAGAAGATCTTAAGAAAAGAAAGTGTGAACCCATGCAAAGAGACAAAGGTTTAGCATAAAAGAGAAAAAACAAAGGAAGGGGAAACAACAGCAACAGAAACTAAACAACTGAAAGGAAGGAAGAGACAGAAGAAGAAAGAAGAGCAGATGACCTGAATGAGTGAAAGTTAGGAAAACCAAGAAAAAACGGACTTTACTTTTGAGAAACCAGCTTCAAAAACTTAAAACTATGATTCACCCTTGATGATTCATGACAGTATGAAAAACATGGAGCTCCTGAGTGTGTGCTGCTGCAGAGGTCAGGGTCTCCACAGGCTGCTTCTCTGTTATGTAACAGCTGCTAAAATCCCAGATTACATTTAGAGGATCTAACTGAAGCCAGTTCATTTTCTCTGGAATCCCTAAGTTTCCCTCCAGCATCTGGGTCTCAGTGATCTAATTGTTCTCTGAAAGCTTACAGTCATGGCCAAAAATACTGGTGCCCCTGCATTTCTGTCAGATAACACACCACCTCTGCATCATGTGGACCTCACTGGGCATGGACAAAAGAAAGAAGAGCAAAGAATTATCTGAGGATTTGAGAAGCACCATAGTGGAAAAGCCTGGACAGTCTCAAGGCTACAAGTCCGTCTCCAGAGACCTTCCTGTTCCTGTGTCCACTGTGGGCAATATTCCCAAGACGTTTACAGCTCATGGCGCTGTAACTAATCTCCCTGGATGTGGACGAAAGAGAAAAATAGATGGCATATTGCAAGGATTGAATGGTGGATAAAGAACCTTGATCAACTTCCAAACTAATTCAAGCTGACCTGCAGGCACAGGATGCGACAGTGTCCACTCACACTATCCGTCGCCATCTGAATGACAAGGGACGCTATGGTAAGAGACCCGGGGGGGTGGACCCCACTGCTGGCACAGAAACATAAAAACGCCAGAATAGAGTTTGACAAAACTTAGCTGAGGAAGCCACAGTTCTTCTGGGAGAATGTCCTGTGGACAGATGAGACTAAAATAGAACCTTTTGGTCGAGCACATTATTCTACTGTTTTCAGAAAACAAAATGAGGCCTTCAAAGAAAAGAGCACGGTCCCCACAGTCAAACACGGTGGAGGTCCATTGATGTTCTGGGTTTGCTTTGCTGCTTCAGGCACTGTGTGTCTTGACTGTGTGTACGGCATTATGAAATCTGAAGACTACCAATGAATTCTGGGGCACAATGCAGGGCCTAGTGTTAGAAATTTGGGTCTCTGTCAGAGGTCATGGGTCTTACAGCAGGACAATGACCAAAAGCAGACCTCAGAAAGCACCAGAAATGGTTTCAGACAATGTGCTGGAGAGTTCTGAAGTGACCGCAATGAGTCCAGATCTAAATCTCATAGAGCAGCTGTGGGGAGATCACAAAACTACAGCTGGAAGAAGGAACCCTTCAAATCTGAGAGATCTGGAGCAGTTGGCATAAGAAGAGTGGTCTAACATTCCATTGGAGAGGTGGAAGAAACTCACTGATGGTTACAGGAAGTGACTGATTTCAGTTATTTTGCCCAAAGGGTGTGCCACCAAACATTAAGTTGAGGGTGTCAATAATTCTGTCCAGTCTATTTCTGGAGTTCTGTGTGGAATGGATCACATTTGGCTTTTTCTCTGCTTGTTGTTCCAGTGCAAACAAAAACATGAGAATACCAAAGAATTTGTGATTGCAACAATTTTCTGGGAGAAGTGGTGAGTTATCTGGCAGAAATGCAGGGGTGATAATATTTTTGGCCATCACTATGTCCCCAAAGAACAATAATATCACAGAAAGCATTGGGTGGAATTAAACTCATGACCTTTCAGTTACCCAGACACTTGAATCAGTGCGTTCAGCTCTTCAGTCATCAGCGTCTGTCATTTTTGTTCATGAGTAATGACACAGAGAAGAGTGATGGGAGACAGAAGAGGTGGGTGATGGGATGATGTGAACCCACTAATGGGAAAACATCATCAGGGATTTTACACAAAGACAAAGAATTAACTGTCTAAGCTTATACATAAAAAGTAGTAACAGTAAAATTTGTTCTGCTGAAATGTAAGATATTGAAAAAGTATTAAGAAAAGAAACAGAAAAAAAAAACAAGGGAAAGCCCCAGAAAGTGAACAAGCAGGTTCCTTCTTAAACTTTTTGCCTGTATAAAAAATGAAAAAAGATGTTGGAAAAATGTGAAAAAAAGTGGAAAGTTAAAGAAAGAATGAGCAGGACTCTCCCGTGTCTCTTGAGCCAGACACTTTATCTATAAATAAGACTTTTTAAAAAGATGCAAAATAAATGATCAATTTTACACTGTGAGACCAAGATTTCCACTTTTTTAGACAGATTTTAGTCATTTGAATAGTTTTGGAATTAAATTATGCCAGTTTCTGTCTGAGGTCCGTGGCTCATGTCCCATCGAGCAGCGGGAACATAAACTTGAAGGAACATGAAAAACTGAAACTGGACAATTAGAGTCTAAAGCTACAAATACGCACCGAATCTGGAGCATTAAGACGCATCCGGAAGTGAACAAAGGCGAGTTTTTCACTTTCAGATTCTGAATAACTACAGTTCAACTTGTTACTGATTGGGAATCTAATGTTTCTTTTAGTAAAAATGACGTTACACCAGCCGTGGTGTGTACACAGCGCTGTGTTAGTCTGCAGGTGATTAGTTCAAGAGTGCGCACGTCCTGCACGGAGACAGAAGCCATATAAATAACCGCAAGCCCTGTTTCTCTCTCTCTCTCTCTCTCTCTCTCTCTCTCTCTCTCTGCTTTCCCCACTCTAGTTCTCTTTCACTGGCGCTCTGCCAGCTCCAGCACGCTCCAAGCCTTCTCTCTTCTTGCGCCGAGAGGAGAGAGAGGATGGAGGGAGGGAGGGAAAGGAGGAGGAGAGAAGGTGGGGGTCCTCCAGGAGCTCAAGGAGGTGGAGCAAAGGGGAGGGATGAGGGAAGGAGGGGAGGGGTGTCTCTCTGCCTCTCTTGCCGTCGCTGGAGTGAGGTGGGGTGGGCTGGAGGGGGGCCACGGGAGCTTGGACGCCTATTCGCCTTCCATTTGCCTCCGCACTATATAAACACTCATTGGTGCCTCTGGCTTGTCGCGCACACAGTTTTTACGCACGCATCCATACACACACACACACACATATATATATACTGAGGGTGACTTGTATAGGCAGCCAGTGGGGAGAGAGAGAGAGAGAGAGAGAGAGAGAGACGCGCTCTCATAAACAGAAAGGTACACAGAAGAGAGTGGACGACAGAAAGTAAGAGAAGGAGGAGGACGTCGGTGGTTCCAGAGCATCTCCAGCGCACCTCTTCATTCCAGCACGCTCACGGATCTTAAACGACTACTACACACGTTATCTTCCTCGAGTTTGCTCCACAGAGATTAATATTTTTGCAAACAACTTTTTTTTATTTATTTATTTTTTAGTTGAGAGAGACGCGATTCCTGGGAGAGTTTTTGGTCATTGCCCCCCTCCCAAACCAAGTGTTTCCATCCCTCGAGAACTTTTAAAAAGTAAAGCCCTTGTTGGTTTCAGGGCTCGGCTTCACTTTTTCCACGTGTACCACGGTGCCCCAGCTTCTGACATAAACGTGTCACCTTGAGATTTTTATTTGCCTTCAGGTTTCAGACTCTTTTCCTCCAAACTTAATTTTAAGTCACTAATGCACAAACGAGATAGAACAAAAATGAAATTTCAAAAATCAGGACAGTCCCCAGTCTTGTGTGATTCTTGTCCTAAATGATCACATCATTAAACAGATTATTCTGGTTTTTTACAGTTTACAAGCTGTTTGACTTTGAAAATCCGAGCAACAGAGTTCACCTGCAGCATCTCATCCGCTCAGCCGACACTTTGATTTGGACTTTTTACCCACAGAACTGCCACTTTGTGACTATTTAAAGACAGAGATCCAGTCTGTCTGAACATCGCACTCCACGCAGTTCATTCATTCTGAAAACACTCTTGTCGGTGATAGAGCGCTTTCAATGCGTAAAGGAGCCCTGTGCTTTTACGCAAATAAACTTTGATATCAAACTTTTTAATTCGCCCCGGGAACCAAGATCTATCCATTTTTGTCACAAATAGAGTTTCAACACAACTTACACCAACTTTTTGAAACTCGTCCCAGAGCTCCATAGAGACCGCTTGGCTCTCCATCACCATGCTGTTCGACAGTTTCGACCTCGTCTCGGCTCTGGCCACTCTGGCCGCCTGCCTGGTGTCCATGGCCCTGCTCCTCGCTGTCTCCCAGCAGCTGTGGCAGCTCAGATGGACGGCCACGCGAGACAAAAACTGCAAGTTGCCCATGCCCAAAGGATCCATGGGTTTCCCCTTCATCGGCGAGACCTGCCACTGGCTCCTGCCGGTGAGCGCGCCCTCTGGCCGACTCTGGACGGGGAGGGGGGGCTTGGTGGAGCGCGAGTCGGTGTCTGGGTCAGCGCTGGTGCCGATGACTACGCGGGGACAGAATGGGACTTTATCCAAGTGTGATAAAATCTGTGTTATCATTATATTCGGTCAAATACTTTACAGACTTCGTTGCAATTTGCTGTCTTAGTTCCTTTATCACACTTTAACACTTTCACCGGTTTTACTCTGCGCGCACCTTAATCACTTCAATATGAAGTTGCTGATCAGTGGGTCTGCAACGGGACAGTGAGAGAACCTTGATGTTGACTAGTACAAAGCTCCGTAATCACCAATATCACACTTTTCCACACATTTTGCCACATGCGTTAATCTTGTTACATGTGCTTCAGTTTCACTGAAAACAAACATCCAACAGAAAAAAACGCCAGTTTGCACCTTTTAACATGTTTCAATTTGACCCAAAATTCCACAGCGCACAGTATTAAATCTACACAAACTGTCCTGTCAGCCTCGGAAATTTCTACAGTCCTCTAAAATACGTGTCTTCAGGTTTAAGATGGTTCCTCCTCATCCTATGGGCACACAGAGCGACTCCAGTCGTCACGCAGCCGCCGGTAGCCGCTCACACAGGACAGTCACAGACTTTCATTTCACTTTTGATTGGTTTTTAGTCCTACAGACTCTCATCGACTCTCCTTCTGTGGCTCTATCCAGCGATCAGATCAGTTTTTGTTATCTCAGACGGGAGCGCATCGCCTCAGCCAACCGCGGCGGGACTTCCCCTGCGTGGCGGGGTCGAACCGCAGTCAGGCTGATTGGCTATCGGTCATATGTGATACGGCGGCATTTGGAGGGGTTGTCCCTGAGTAGCAGTCAAAATAAAATAAAAAACAATCTCGCTGCTTCCCTGATATTTCAAATGAAAGCTTGGTGCTTAACATAAAAACAGGTAATAATGCCTTGAGCGATTATTTAGGGAGGTTTATGTTGAGAGAGAGATACGTTCTGTTGGTTTTGCGCACCCCAGACTCTCTCTCCTGTTCTCCTTCCTGGTGAATGCAGACACCACAGCTTTGCTCCCTGCATACTCCTCTTGGAGCATGTACGGAACAAAAAATCAATAATCTGATATTTTGACAGGTGGGATAAAGGCGCTAGCAAAGGGAATATCCTTGATAGGCATGGGATGATCGGTTAATCATTCGTTCATCTTCTTGTTTGCTTCACAATTTGAGGAAATGATCTTCTCCCACGCACGCTTGCTCGTGAACAAATGGGAATAAAACCCCGTAATCCTTTGTATGCAGGAGTATCTATGAATGTGTCAGAAGTGGTACTTAAGCTTTATGTTTGTGCCAAAAGAAAGAGAAATGTGGACCAAAGAGGCCAAAAAGGACTTTTACGCAGCTGAGAGAAGAAGAAAGAAGAAAGGGTCAGGATTACAGTTTGACCCTGCTAGGCTGCACGAGAGTCCCACTACTGAGCACTGGGAACTGATGGCTCCCAGGAGCATGCCCATAGAAAGGGCTGGGGGTGGTGGATTTAAAAAAAAAAAGGAGAGGGAGCGAAAAGGACAGAAAGAGAAAAATCTCAAAATGAAAAGCAAAAGGGTGGGAGGGTGGCTGCACGCACGACTTGAACTGGCGGTGTTCCTCTCTCTTACATCTGACACCGAGCTAGACGTGTTCCCGGAATGCAACCGAGGACCACGGCCAAGTTTATCGTGGGGCGGGTGGGGGTGGAGGCATGCCAGTCAGATAGAAGAATGAAAGGCTGTGTGTGTGTCTATACTTATGGGGACCAAATGTCCCCATAAGCAGAACAAACACTGGAAGACTCGATAAAGTTAGGAAGGTCTTGGTTGGCTTCTTTCAGCAGCCACTGTAGATTGGGATGAGGTCCTGACCTAACCATGAAGTTTTTGTCAAGAAATGAATGCAGTCTGTAAAATGTCTCATGAATATTGAGAGAGACAGAGATGCCGGGCTACAGCCTAATCATCATCTGCCCTGTAACACAGTGAGGCAGACAGAGATGGAGATCTGATGCAACCCTCTTGCCCAGATGCAGCTTTGAGTCTCAGCTACTAGTCTGCTGCTTGACTGCTCATGGAAACGACATGTCAGACGTGTCCCTTCTCTGAGGAAGTTGGGGAAAAGACAAAAGAATGCGCCAAGAACTCAAAGAATCTGATCAATTCGAGAAATTAAGAGGCAGATGCTGGGTTTTTAGGACTGAAATGGTCTTGATTAAGAGCGACAGAACAAAAGATGGGAGCTGCATCCAGTACGTTGCCTTTCCTTTGCTTCACAGCAGCATTTTGTAAAGGAATCCAATGTTATGATAAACACTTTCATATCCAATCTAGTAGCAAATAGTGAAGCACATATACTAGCATGATATGTTCCCAAATAAAAGTGAGCACTGTTTCTGCACATTTTTCTGAGAACAGAGTCACGCAGATGACGGGGTGATCAATCAAGACAAATCAGATTAGGCATATTTACATTCAGTAGCAGAGCAGTAAAAGTAGAGGGAAAGTGGAAATATCTGACTTCACATGCTATGAAACATAAACACAACCTTTCTCTGACTTTCAAGTATTTTTAGGTTCCTAAACCTTAAGTAGTCCCCTCACCAGTGGGGGCACTGGTTTGGACACACAGTATTTTAATATTTGGATGATAGGACATTTGATAGAGACTGCTGAGTTTAAGAATATGAGCTGATCAAGTATTCTCTTGGTCTGTTTAGTCAGGTACTCAGTAATTAAACCTGTAATAACCAGGGGCGGATCTAGAAAATTTTGGATGGGGTGGCCAAGCGGGGCTCAGACTCAGAGAGGGGTGGCACAATTGAAATACAATTAAAGAGTAAATTAAATCCTAGTTTACAAAATAATAAACACATTATTAAGAATTAAATTGTTTAGTTTGTGTAAAAATGAGACACACACAGTGCTTTTTTTTTTTTTTTTTTTTTTTAAGCTAACTTTGGTTGTGCTCCTTATTGACTCCTGGGCGTAGAGGGTTAAGGTTAGGGTTATTTTAACTTTAGCAGGGGTGGCACTAGGGGTGGTCAGCCTGATTCTGGGGGCGGCCAGTGTCACCCCTGGCAATAACTGATTTTTTTTTGCCAATTGAGGGCAGTAGCTGTACATAACACCAACATATCATCCCCATTTAAGATTATAGAGCAAACCTTTTAGCGAACTTCTTTACACATTCAGCGCTTACGAAGCAACGTAACACATTCCTGGCCACCTGATTAAGTCCAAAATTCACTTTTGTTTTTTTAGCTCTGCTTTTGGTCTTTTATCAAATCTTGAAAGAAATATCTGGCTCTTTAGCTGCTGAGCGCCCCACTGTGTTCACCAGCTAACTGCATCTGTGTGCTGTTTTCGTGCTGCGCTGGTAGTATATAGTGAGATTTTTCTCTGTAAAAAGAGCTGCATGCTGCGGCCAAAAACTATGCTATGGGAGCAGTGAGAGTGAACCATGTAGAGAAATTGCAAGTAGGACAGCTGAACAGTGAACTGAAATTTGCTCTGTCAGGCCTGGGGGAGCTGCAGATTGGTCTGATAATTTTTTTAGTGTAATCACCAGGAGCAGCTACTGATACATTATCATTATAAATCTATAATATTTAAATACAGGGTATTGGTGGGTGTCACAGTGTGTGTTTCTATGTTCGAATGAGAGCTAGGAATATGTCCTGAGGCAACCACAGTTGCATCAAATTTCTCTGGATACAAATTTGTGAGAAACTGCCAAAAACACATTTTTCTTGCATCTAGTTCACGTTTCGTTATTTTCTTTACTCACGTTCTCTTTGCTCTTTCAACCTTTCTTCTATTTTCCCTTAGCATCTACATAATCGCTAATGTGTGCATATATACATACAGTATAGTTTTACCTCAACACATGAAGCAGCAGCAGCACATTTTTGTAATGGATCCATTTTAAAGCGATCTGCAGTTAGAAACAGTTTTTGCCAAAGACCTGTCTGCTCTCATTAGAAGCTGGAGCTTTCAAAAGGGATGGTGCCAAACAGGAGCGCTACTGAGCAGGGACACACACCCACACACACACTCACTGTACACACATTTCTTTTCATTCCTTGTTGGGACTTTACACTGACTCACATTCATTTGCTGGAGACTTACCCCAACATTAATGGATACTGCTTCTTGCCTAAGACCTAACACCTAACACCTAACACTTACCCTAACCTCATCCTAACCTTACACCAAGTTATCTGATTTACATTATGACTGCTGGGGAAGAAGGCGAGTCTCCACAATGAGAGTGTGTAAACAGGCTTTGGTCTCCACCATGTGCATAAGTAACACCAGGTAAACGCGCATGCAAACACACATGCACACATGTAATCGGTACCTACATGGCACGTGGTGCAGATTTTTCTATACGATGACATAAATACACAATAGCAATGTATTCATGCTTTATAGAGAAACTCCAATATGCTTTCCATACAGGAGTTCACATGTATAAACACAGAACAGGCCGTTCACATGCAGTATATGCACGACATTGTGATAATCTCGTTTATATAAAGGTTATTTATGCAAACAGTGTGTACAATTTGTATTATTATTATTATAGTATGTGTCCTACAAAGTATATTTTATAGCAAATTATATTAGACAGAAAGGGACAGCCCAATTTGTTTTCCAAAACTTTATAAATTTCTTATTTTGATATACATCTGCAAAACTGTCAACTGCTCATTCCTTAACATTTTGCTCAGCTTTTTTGGCATTAAAAAAGGCGAAAAATTAAATAGGGACACTGTTTGTATATAAAATGGCTCCGGTTCACAAATTTCGCAGTCGTTTTGACACACAGTGATGAAAAACGGCAACAAATTTTCCTACATTTCCTGTAACATTACAATTAATATATAAATTGCTTTATAAAAATACATTTAAGAGTAGTCAGATAAAATCATCCTTGCTCAGAGGAAGTTGCAAAAACAAGCAGCAACAGAAACAATATGTAGATTTCAACACATACACAGTACGGTCCAGTATAATGACAGGATTTCTGGGTAATGAACTGTATCAGCTTTTAAGCCTTAAAGCATTTACCTGTTGCTGCCACCCGGGGGCGCCAAAGTGCAGCATACCCAGACGTGACTTTTAAAGATATTTGTTAGTTATGATCTAAATTTAAAAACAATGTATTGGTTAGTTTAATCATGTTCTAAGATTTCTGGGTAATAAAGTTCTTCATACTTCCAAAATGTGCTTATCTGCCAAGTCTGGGATGCAACAGTGTAGCGTTCCCTGTTCTACAGAAGCGATATTAAAGCCACCGACTCAGACATCAACTGATGTAGTTTCCAGTCTATGAGGGAAACTTATCTGGTCTTCTGTATACAGGTTTTCCTGATATCTCTCTACCCGCATGCACACAAAAACATATGTGTTGCAGGCAGACTGGACTGAATCTGGGTCAGACCAAAGGAAATGAGCACAGGGTACTGATACTCAGACCGTACAGAGTGTTTTGTGAATACGCCTAAATCAGAGACAATAGTGCACATGCACACACATTCTAATGCATGATCCATCTGTCTGCCAGCCTGTCTTCTTGTCTCTGTCTGTTTTGCAGTGATGAAGTGCAAATGATGGCGGGCAAAGTAATAACAGTCCTGCAGACCAAACACTCTCCCATCACACATAGTGATGACAGCTCCTTCTCTCTCTCTTCTTCTACACCTGTCCTGATGTCGCCTGCTTTTTCTGGTAGCACATATAAAGACCACTCTATATTTTACACGCAGGGATACTTTGGGATATATTCTTGCTTAAATCTCTCTGCCCCTTGTGAGAAAGGCATGGTGCCTTCAATTGCAATTTTATTTGATAAGTTGCATTTCTCTTCGATTCCTGTTAACTAAAGGAACACAGTAATGATGGACATTGACACATTTTTCAAATCAACTTACTCAGGATTCAAAAATTGTCAGGTGGTGTCACAGTTTTACTTCTTGCATTTCTTCTGACTGTGTGACATTGCACAAAGTCAGATTTAACCATTTCGCTAACATTTGATTCAGTATATCATGTGATTTTAGACGATCTGTGTCTTAAAACTCTCCATAATCTTAAAAATCACTCATTATGACCAAAGTGTGCATAAGATGCAAGCTATTTGTTTTTATGTGGATTGTGCCCTTAAGCAGCTGAGACACAGCAGGGATTGTGAGGCCTGGTGGATTCATCTATAGTAGGTTCCATTACTGTGGTCCAGCTCGCTGTGCACAGCATAGCTGCGGTTCCACAGGCCTGAGGCACGCGCACACACATTCACTGGAAAAACGTTGAGCATACCGTATGCACAGAGTCATATAACCTGCAGCAGACGCACATATAGAGCTTAGAGGTGCGCACAGCTCGACACATGCTTCACTCAGCACACATGCACAAAAGCGTGTGAGCTCAGACAGATCATATTACAGTGCTGACTGATGAAGTTTCTCTTTTTGTTTCTGTTTTGTGATTGATGCTAGGAGAGCGGCAGGCGCTGGCAAGCGTGAGCGTGTGTTTTTGTACGAGTGTGTTGGGTAAGAGATACATAGTTCACTGAGCGGGTACAAGGAGCAGTATTCGTATGTGTGTTTTAATGGAGTTAATATTCAAGGCAGGACCCTTGAACCTCAGAGGACTCTTCTTGTCAGACGCTGCAGACCTTTGTTCAAGTTTCGCCCCATCTTTTCAGCTCACCTTTCTTATTTATTTGATGAGAATCAAGTCTTAGGCATGTTTTTCTTATTCCTGTTTATACTTTTATGTCTTACTTTTAACTTTCCTCCACTGTAGCATTTTATTATTCCTCAGTTGTTGCATCTTTTCTCTGTCTCCTCTAGCCCGTTTACCCCAGCCTTTCACCTCCCTCCATCTTCCTCCACTCATAATCAATATTAGTAAAGACGTTTGTCGCTTTGACTGTAGCTTTATCGCAAACAATCCAGCAACGACAGCAGCACATAAATCAAGAATGCTCTAAGAGTAAAAGAATCACTCCCCATGTTTTTTCACTTTCTCCATCTTCTTCACTCCTTCTCCATCTATCTGTCCCTTCCTACCTACCTCCTCTAGTTCGCATTATCAGGTACTGGCAGCGGTCTCGCTTGTCCCCTCTTTCACCCCAAGAACACACTGCTCCCTCCTCTGACACTCTTGTCTTGGTCCGGGTATAAAGCACAGTGTTACGCTCTCTCTGCCAGTGTGTGTGTGCGAAGGAGAGGTTGTGCTTTTACTAGTAAATTTGTAAAGTTTTTAAAGGTAGACTTGTTGGTTTTGGTCTTTATGGGATTAGTTGACACTTTATAAAGTAAAGTACAGTAGTAGTCTTACCCTATGAATATTTACACACATACAATGTAACAAGAGTGCTTGTGGCGCTTGGCTGCTAATTTGTTTCTAGTGAACAAGAAAACCACAAATATATAATTTCATTTAACAAAACATGTCAGCAATCTCCTAAAGCATCTGGGCACTGTAAGCAAACATTACTCAAACAGGACAAGATACTGCATTTGCTTGGGACTATTTTCAGTTGTGGATTAATACACACTTGGCGTTCTAGTGAGCATTTAAAGCAGCAGCACGACTGATAAACTACAGCGCACATAATGAACAAACATATGTCAGAGTATGGCTAACTGATGTGTCTTTAGTACCGGTAGTATTTGGACAACAACGCAGTTCTGCAGCATGGCGGGATACCAAATACACAGTCATTGCTTGTTACTGACATGGATTGTTTGCTAGTTTTGTTATTTTTATACAATTTGCTGACAGTAAGTAAACAACAGTATATATTTATACACGCTGTATACTTAGATTTGTTGTGTGCCTGTATTTGCTTGTAGTTGAGGATCTGGTGTGTGTGTCAGGGTATTAGTTGGGGTCCTGGGGGTGAGCGCTTAGAGAGTTTTGAACAACCATAATCTCCCTTTCTATCATGTCCCCGGGTCAGGGGCCAGCCCTCTCTCTCCCGCGCTCTCTCTCTCTCTCTGTTCCCGTTGTTTTTTGGCTGAACCATCCGTAGCCCTTTTCCATTAATCCGTCCTCTTTGAAACCAGCACCTTTCCCATCTCTCCACCTCCTCTGCCACGCTTTGCGCTCGCTTTCTCTCACCCCACTTTTAGCGCTTTCCTCTCTCATTTCCTTAATTTGATTCTTTCCTCCATCTTCCTCCTCTTCTTCTCTGTTTCTTGTCTTTCCTTTCATAACTTCTTTCTCCTGCTGTCTCTGTCTCTCTGATGTGGTGGCGTGACCGCAAAAGGACGGGGTTCATTGTCAAGTCGAGGACCTATTGCACCATTCAGACGCACAATCACACATACAAAAACTCACACATCGGTTCCTTGGGATTCCTGGCACTGGCTGAACGATTGACAGCTGAAAAGAAAGGAGGAATTCCTCACAGCCTTTGACCTCGTTTCCTCACCCAGGTCCATTCTTTGCTTCTATTGCAGCTTTTTCACTTTTAATTTTAGTTCAATGCCTCAAATTTGACACCACATTTGGGTTTCTGTACTGCATTTCTCAAAAAGTCATCTTGCCAAACCGTCTTTCTTGAAATAAGTACAAGTTTCCTGAGGTAGTAATGGACTCACCTGGTCTGTCAGGGACACCGCACCAAGACGATGAAGAGCGACTTCACATTTCTTTCACCATCGTCATCGGCTAAAAGATGCACTTGAACAAACAGGAAAGACCTCAGCTGGTGGCCGCCCTTTACGCATCCTCAACGCCTGCAATGAGAGGACATGACTAGTCATTAGTCTGCAGTTTTTCTTTGGTTCTGTGTTGAAGTAAATATGAAGTAAGTCAAAGATCACCTAACAGTTGTTGGATGATCTGCTACTGCAAAAGACAGTTTGTAATGCTTCGGTTTACAGAACTGAAGTGAAATTGACTTACAGACATAAAAAAATGAATACAGCGAGTTTTCCAACCTGCACTTTGAGCTGCAATCTAAAATGCTACAGATATGTTTCGAACTCCATCCTTCTTTGATCAGTTTCTTTTAAGCCTTCAATGAATGTGTACATACAAAAGGCTTGTTTTGCTTTTCCAGAAGAGCATGGCCATGAAGATGCACTTAGTGGTTTCCCCATCTTTAAACTTTAAAATCTAGGGTGCTGGTAATGTTACAACTCTCAATATTAATAGCTGAAAAAACTATAACATAGAACAAAACTGTCAATTTCACTTAAACTGGAAAACCTTTACAATTCTACAAATGAATTCAGTGACTCAGGTAATCCTTTTAAAGCCATCAATCGGCCCTGAGGTTTCACACAAATGCAAAGAAAGAACCTTCACTGGTGGACAACAACACAAAACATATTCAAGAAGTTTGGCTGCAGACTTCAGCCACACTTCCCAGTGTCTTCACTGCCCTGAAAGTCAAAAACACTTTCATCCTCAAATCAGCACCTTCTGTCTCTTTCTGCTCTCTCAAAACCATGGCTGTCTTTCCTTTCTTATACAAATTATTAGCATGATACATGCAAAGTTGTAAAACATCTTTGCTGCATCCATAAGAGCTTCTGCTACTGTTTTCCCATCAGTCTTTTTCCCCTTCTTTTCTAGCAAAGCTGCCTCTGCTCACCCTAATATTTCTGCTTTATAGCTGCTCTAAATGTACCCTCTGCACACATACTGTACACACACACCCCTGTCCCTCCGGCAAGGCAGTGTGTGTTTGTGTGTGTGTGTGTGTGTGCCGGTTTAGCCGCGGCGTTGATTTGAGTAAACATAATTAGCTGTGTTTTTTTGTCTTGCCCTAATAAAAGAGTCATTTGTTGGACATTTCCACTGTGCTACAAAGAGGACATTTATAAGCCTCGGCCCAGGTTCACCCCCAGGCCAACCCCGACAGAACAGACGGGGTATTTTTAGTACAGCCGGGCTGTGTATGTGTGTGTGTTTAACAGAGAGAGAGGGAGAGAGAGAGAGAGAGGAGTGTGAGAAAGAGAGAACAAAAGTGATGGAGGTTTCACAAGATTTTCTGTAATCATGGTGGCACTTATCAAAAGTTTGGACTGTGTGTATGTGAATGTGTAATGAGAGATTTGGCATGTTTGAAAAGTGTTTGGATTGAGCGTGTGGAAAATCCTCACTGACACCCTCCCTTCTTTCCCTCCTTTATTGAGGTTCTTGGAAAATATCTGATAAATCTTTGCTCAAAAAATATAAAAGGAACTCTGTAGAAGCTGACATCATTGGCTGAATCCAGACTGTAGACACAGCCCCTTACTTCATTGTTAAACACATATAACCTTTAACCCCGATACTGCCTTAATTTTACCTTGATTCTGACCTTACTTTACCCTACAATGAATCTTAACCTTCAGCTCTGTGCACTTGATAAAGTGTCACGGTCCAGTTTGAAGCTGCATTCGTTCTTCTGTTGCCTGTCAATGTCCTGGTGCCTCTGTCTCAACTGTACATTTTATATAAAAGCACAAATCTTAAAGTAAACATTTAATGACTGTAACAAATGCTCCTTTGTTGACTGAGTCTGTATAGAACATATGTTCTAAATGTTCCATGATGTTTAAGAGTGAAGATGTGAAGCTATTCTCACACGTGATTGCGTTGCTGATATTCCACTTTTGTTAATATAACTCCAATGAAACATACTGAAGACACCATATAATAGAGGCATTTAGCAAGGAAAAATACTAATTTAACAGTCATGTTTAAACCACCTAATGGCTCTTGACACTTTTAAAGTACCTGAAACTTGTTACTCATACTTGCATTGTCCAACACCAAGCACAAAACTCATGCGAGGCTGCAGCCTAACAACCAAAACCGTAAGTGCACCCTAAGCTATTTGATTACTGGCTTTGTTTAACAGTTATTCACATTTACAGTTCGTGACCACATATAGTGCTGGGAAAAACCTGACTCGTGTTTCCCTTCACTCACACAGGAACACATCATGTTTTGTGTCTCCACAGCTAGCTTGTACTTCTCTTAGTTGCTAGGTAACATGTCCACATGTCAAACTTCACGCCTGCCATCATTAAGAGAAACCTCTTCATGGTTTTCAGTTCAGATCAGAGTTTGTTGTCTGTGAGATTGGTGTGGAGAAAAAAAAAGCTGTGATGACTTCTACAACTCTGTGTGCGTGCTGTGACCCCATATGTGCTTATGTGCAGTACACGTTCTTTTGCAAAAGAAGTGTGGCGTCATTACATCACAACTTTTCCATGCTTGCTCTCTGTGTGTATGCATGTGTTTTGCCAGATTTGCAAGGGGGAAGACGGGTGTACACTTCTCACCTTTTAAGCTAAATGTCATCCAGACCACACCTCTGGCAGACACGAGGACAGATTACGTTACTGTGACTTTTTGTTTTATGCACAATTTCGTTCTGTGTTCTGTCAGGGAATAAGGACTATCAGCAAAGCCTTCAGCGTCCTGCCAAAATGTGTGCATGTGTGTGAAAAGAACGTAAAGAGAAATGGAAAGAGAGAATGCATGATGGACAATGCACGTAGCTATACTACACCAAAAAAAAAAAAGAAAAAAAAGTATGCAAGCCCAATTTGATGTTGCATCTTGGAGTGTGAAAGAGAGCCTTGTCCAGCTGCCTGAGGAACTCCCTTCGAACTCGACAGTGTTTGTGTGTGTCAGCAGGCCTGCCAGGCAGACATACTATACCACTCTACATCCATGTGGCAGCAAAATGTAGCTTGGAAAACAACCCCACTCTAACACACACACCCACACACCCTGAGGGCTCCAGAGGCCAGTCTGATGTGTGTGTGTTAATGTGAGTGTGAGTGCATGCCACAGTGAAAAGAGGAAGTGTACAGGAGCTGTAAAGCACCTCAACAGTTTGCATCCAGAGAAAGAATAAGAAAGTGAATAACTGGACACATTTTGTTCCAGTATCTCCACTGAAGACAGGATGTATTTTGAGTAAACCTTTATAGCAAAACCAAAAAAATAAATCTCTAAAATGCACCGACTAGATAAACTACTGTCAACATTTCATGTAAGGTTCTTAACATCTGAAGCGGCTTAAGAACGATTCCAAACAGCCACAAAGGTGGGGTGTGTTGCACTGAATGCTAATAAACACAATTTTTCATCTATACAAGCAGTCTGTCAATCAGAGGTTTCAAAGCAACGTTAAAACAGCTAACAGAGCTGCGAGGAGGTCAAGGCATCTGTGCTCAATTTAGGTCAAATTCACACAGAGAAAACGGTAAGACATGAGGTCTGTCACAAACAGGGAGCGAGAGATGAGCTGCTGGGAGCAGATACCCTAATGGCAGCCAAGATCCTTGATATCGGACAACTACAGAATCCCAGGCTATGCCCGGTGTTAACATGTTTTTATGCCAAATGCCAACTTCTCACTATCCACAAAGTTAGGCCCACGGACGCACTGCACATACATTTTAACTGTGGAATTGTTCAATATGGATGTAACCCCTTGGGATTCTAGGCTGAACAGGGATATGACTGAAAGATACAGGCAAGATGTACCAGTGCGACAGCGTTGACTTCAAAGCAGATGCCCTTTTTATGGATTTGTTAGGCGCTTCTTTTTTTTTGTTGACACTATCAGAAAAAAACAAAAAAAAAGAAGAGACAGAAAGAACAATGGTTTAATTCCATGGGTACATAACTCAAAAGCTAGTATTACTAGTGTTTGTTTGTTTACACTTATCACACAGTGTTTCTCATCAAAATACATGTACGACGCTGTGGATCAGTACATTAGGTAATTAACGGGCTCTCTGAGTTGCTGTAGGATTTCTTTAGGACTGTACAAACATTCTATCTCCTGAATCTGCTTCAAGTTAGTACTAAAAGAAAAGCATATCTGAGGAAAACAAACATGAGCTGATGAGACTGTTCCAATAGCAATTCTACAGTTAGTTTCATATTTTTTATTTGTTCATCTTGAGAGAGTTGAGGGTATTTAGTTTGTCTGTTAAAACATTTATTTCAGCAGTTCTTGGCGATTAAAGCAGTTTTTGATTGTAAAATGCAACAGTAAATGTAACAAGGTTCCACTGCGCTGAGCCACAAACTACTCAGTAAACCAGGATCACTGAGGATAAAATGGTACGACAGCAAAAGCCCAAGCTATCTTTGTGAACACAACCCACTGTATACATACCGTACAGTAGGTCTACACACAAATAGAAGTCACCACTGCTGCTCAAAGTGCGTGTCAAAAAGGAAACAAACCACGTGCTAAAATTAGTTGCTGAAACGCTTCTAGACACATAAACATACGCTTCATTTGCACACAGGAGCTCTCTCTGTTTTACACACCAACAAAAACGCACGGCAAGCAGTTTCCCATAGTTTGAAAGGTGCAGTACTAGTTCTTAAAATTAATTACAACCAGAATGAAAGGCTGGTAGAAAAAGAAAAGGTTGGTCCTTTCTACACAGCTGATCAGGAAGGAGTGAGAGAAACTCCATCTCTCTGTAGGACTACACAGCTGTACAGCACCTCATAGTGCTGCTTCTTTGGCTTGTGTGTTTGCATATATTACCCCTGAGAGTGTGTGTTCCTTGCAGTTGTAAATATCTCTTTCCCCACGAGTAAACCGAGGTCAAACCAGTTAGTGTTGTCACAGCATTTTGCAGTTACAGTGGGCATCTACATGTTTGTTTGCTTTGCATGTCTTTTTTTTTGTGAATTTTATAAATGTTGTGGCCATACCAGTGCGCTGAACCATATATGCATGTGAGCTTTTACTGTATGGTATGTGTGTGTCTAAAAGCATGTGCTTGTGGTTGCATGTGAATGATGTGTTTGTCTGTGAGCCTCAGTGCCTATGAAGTGTGTGTGTGTGTGCAACACACTAAGCTGCCCTTGGGCTGATGTATATTCTTTTCACTCAAACAGTCCATTTACAGTTCTGGGGTCAGCTCCCTCTCACTCTGCCATGACCCAGATCGTTTAGAGGTCAACTTGCTAACTGACTCCAGCTCTGGTCCTCTGGAGGGTTTACCAATAACCCTGCTGCTCAAACTGTGGGGCAGGGACCTCCAATGGGCTGTGCAGCCTCCTCTGTTGGCTCCCTAAGTAAAAAAAGAGATGTTTTCTCAATATTCAGTGGAAAGATTTGAAGCTATACAAAGCAATTCTAGCATCTTTTCTTGCAAAAACAATCAGTCAAGTACTTAAAACAGCGAAACATTTGTCCAAAGTGTCCAGTTGCTGCCAACCTGGGGGTGGGGCCTCCAAAGTGATCTCAATATACTGTAAAGCTAAGAGGGCACAAGATAGTTAAAAGGATAGAAAAATGGATCAATGTACATCTTCAGCTCTCCAAAAAGTATTAAAAACTATCTGAGCGAGAAGAACCACTCTTCTTTCACAACCTGTTTCCATATACAACCTTTGACAAGTATGTAGTTGCGCGTAGACATGAGTAGGTGTCAAAAGGTCAGAACCTCTGGGGGACTTTTGATGTGGTTTCAGGATGATTCAAACAAGCCATAGTATGTGATAGTGGACATAAAGCTCACTAAACTCAACTCCGTTGCTTGTGGGTAAAAAAAATTCAATTTACTGTACTTGAAGCGAGAGTTCAAAATGTTTTGAGAACCTTTAACCTCATATATTCAGCAGCTGATATTAAGGCTGAACCCCTAAAGGCACTGTGTCCTAGAGGCAACTTAAATCATTTTTCATTGAATTAACCTATTGCATGCAGGCTTCTTAAACATCTGCAGTCTGCTACCTTCAGTGTATAAATTTACTTTTTCTCAGAGAACCCAGAGGATGGAAACATCAGTAAGTTTTTGCATATGGGGGACTCACCAGAAATGGTTTGCTGGGCTACAAACCACAAAATACAAGCTTTTAGGGTTGAAGATCAAAGCTTGAGGGAAGGTCAGATCTCAAAGGCTGGTTTAAATTAATAGCGAGCGTAAAATTCCATCATAGAAATGCTGCAGAGCTTCGAGGTTATATTTCAGTTTTCTGTCTTGTTTGCAAAATGCTGTTTAGGACCAGAACGTTTTGTTGATGATGGTGATAGTGAGAATGAGGCGAATGATTGTCGCAGCTTTACAAAGCAAAGATGTTTTTGGCATGTCCATTCTGGTGCTCACAGTAAAAGTTAACATCAAGAAGGAATGACAAGAAAGAAAAACAAAGGTAGGAGCTGAGGGGATCTCTGTCAACTAAAGTGAAAGGAAAAGTTAAATCGTCTGTGAAACAGGATGGAGAGTTGTCTGCTCAGGCCTTCACTGGAAAAGGGACATTCCAGCTTTCCATGAAGTCTTCATCATTTCTTTGACACTCAATCATCCTTTAAAACCTTATTTATTAAATTACTTGCACCATGGCACAATAATTCGTATGAAAATGACATAAAACGGGAATCTTTTTTAATGGTCCTCAAATGGTCAATCAAAATATTTGATCTGATGTCTCTCAAGACATTTGTGTCCTTGTTTAAATCTGTAGAGCTCCAAGACTAATCTGCATATATATTTCCTTTCTGTCCGTCTGCCTAGGGCTCAGGCTTCCATGCGTCGCGGAGACAGAAATATGGCAACGTGTTTAAGACTCATCTTCTGGGTCGCCCTCTGATCCGGGTGACGGGCGCTGAGAACGTTCGCAAGGTGCTGATGGGTGAACACACACTGGTGACAGTGGACTGGCCTCAGAGCACTTCCACTCTGCTGGGACCCAACTCGCTGGCCAACAGCATCGGAGACATCCACCGCAAGAGGAGGAAGGTCAGGACACACACACTATACATGTATAGTACATGCAACCACAAACACCTAAGTGGCATCCACTTCAGTAACAGGAAGGCAACACAATACACATTCTCTTGCAGCACACACAAATACAAAGGCATGCATACAATTTAAATATTTATACTTATACTCGGTGCTTATACTTATAACATACTCTTCTGGACACACACAGAAACAGAAAGCGAGAGTAACAGGGTAAAGATATCCTGCTCTCTCAGTCTGGCTAATGAAGTGAGAGACACCTCCAATCATCTACATGAAGAGAGAGCGAGAGAGAGGACTATACAATCCACCCTTGATTACCTGTTTTCTTCTGTTTTATTTCTGGGATTCCTCCCTGACTCTGCTCACTATCTCTCTCACTTTCTTTTCTTTTTCACTTTCTCTCTCCCTCTTTCCTCCACCTTTTCAGTTCCTCATTCTGTGCCAAGATCATTTCAGGTAATCAGCCACTTACCGCTCCCTCCAATTATCCCTTTATCCCCAGATCACATACCTACCTACCTATCTCTCTCTCTCTCTCACACTCACACACACACACACACACACTTCAACCAACCCACACCTGATGCATGTAAATACAAAGTCACTGATAAAGACAGATGTGTACACACACGCACACAACAGAATGAGAAGAACGAGAAGCGGAGTCTGGAGTGTTTTCCTGTAAATCAGACTCTTGTTGTCTGTCTGGATCCCAGCAGGGTGTGGTGGGGGTTAGGTGGGGTCAGGTTTCGTTGCTGCGGTGCCCGGGGACGACGAGGGGTCAGCTGGGTCTAATCTGCGCTCTGATCCCCACTCCTCTCCCTGGAGACCCCTGCACTAACCTCATGTTAATGACCCCTGATTAGGAAGGCTGCCTCCGACACAGCACAAAGAGGGGCTTTCTGTGGGGGCCCGACACACACACTCTCACAAACACACAGACTTGCACATTTCCCAATCTCAACCTAAACAGCCAGCCAGAGAGACAGATACAAGGTCGGTTAAGTTGCTTATACTGTAGTAGTTGTAGCCCTGTGTTGCTAAGCAGCTATACCTCAGCCTTTAAACAAAACAGGCAACATCCTACCTGCTTCTGTTGTGTCCATGCCCTCTGAACTCTGTGAGGAAGCAAAAGGAAAGAGGGTTTCCCTATAGAGACCAAGTGATAGAGCTTCAGGTTACAGAATTTAACTAGATTTGAAAGTAGCATATTCACAAGAAAGAAAAGTGGTTATCATCTTACACCTTTTTTGGAGAAAGCCTATTTGGAGATGCAACAAACTTTCACACTAGGCCTCTTGGAAAGTCCCCTTGAGATGCTATTAATCTGATCTTTGAAGTCTTTTCTCTTGTACAAGCAATAGACATAAATACCCTTAAAGCATCCTGTAAGTTTTCATATAAATATATATGTTAAGGGTTGATTTAGCATCTTTCCAGTTAAATTTCCCATTCAAACTGGTCTCAGTACTGTCGGCTACATCTTTCCTGACAAAAATCAGATGTAAATTATGCATTTAAATTCACTCTGCTTTGAAAGAAGAAAATGAAGAAAGGACTAATTAGAATGAACTGAGCCAACATGTGCAGCAAAAATAAATAAATAAATAAAATGCACCAGACACAGAGGCACAAACACAAACCTCAAAAAACGGTGGCATGATCACTCTGACAGGCACAAAAAGTGAACAAAACCCTGAAGATGAACTTAAAGATAACCACTTAAGGTAATATATATTAGCTCAATATGTATGCATGCATCTCTCTATGTGCTGAAGGGCACAACAACAGACATTTGTGACGTCCTGGTTGTTACGGAAATCAAACTCATCTTAGTTCAGCTGCAGGAGGGTCAACATACAGAGACAGATAGAGGGACAGAAAGCACTACGAGGTCAGCCGGGCGGTTTTCAAGGCCGACGCTGGCATGTTCGCGGTGTGAACGACTGGCTTACTGTCTGACCCACTGGACCAGAACTGCTCCTCTGTGTCTGCCCTCCTTGTGGTTTTCATACAGTACGGAAAAACAATCTTCACACAGAACATTAGCCTTTGGTGGATCAACAGAGGCAGCCAGTTTCCATATAACCCCGTGTCAAGCTAGGAAACTAACTCGCTCAAAGAGCCACAGCAGCGTGGTTTCCACCACAGGCCGACCAGGGCCAGCCAGGACTTGCACATCAACCTTGACTGAAAACAACATCAAACACATGCCTTTTTTTTTTTTTGCAAACAAATGAGCTCGTGGGGGAGCAGGAGTTAGAGATGGCTCAAATTTAAAACCAGTGTCACTTCTTTCATACTTTACCTGAAATTATAATGCATACGCTGTGACAGACGTCAGTCGTAACATGTCTTTTATAAGAAAGTAATAATAATGTAATACTTTTCTACACACAAAGGCTTCAGTTGTCCATCTTTGGACCCTTTTGCTGGGAGGTGACAGCAGTTAACCATGTGTCACCTTCATTTTACCTCAGTTTTTTAGTTTTCAGCCTGCAGACTACACTAAACCAAAGTTTACTGGGATTTGAATGATATCTGATAAAGGAGGCTGATACTATAAACAGATAAACACACAGTACTTGTGTTTTAATAAACATACTGTGATTACCTCACAATGTCCTACCTGGCCTGCAGTGGGAAAAAAATTCCCTCTATATTGAAACAACAGTGGTGGGAATTCAAGTGAGGATTTGTAAGCCACATTCACAAACATGAAAATACACACTTCTGACACACTACTCACTTTGTCTTCCCAAACTCCCTCATTCTCCCTCTTTCCTATTTGCCAGCTCCACATTTACCTTCCCCCTTGTTTTCTTTCTTTGGGAACCATCTCTCCATTCCCAAGTTTAGGAAACGGAAAGTCAGAGGTGGGAAAACAGAGATTAAGACAAAAAGAGAGATTGGAAAATAATAATAGAGCCATGCAGAGTGATTCATACTGAACCTTGTCTTAATTTAAGGGTCACTTTTAACCCTTTACATCTTTACCCAAAGGTTTATCTTAAATGCAGAGCATTCTCAATGACCTCCCTTTATCTTCTTACCTTTTGGCATTTATCTCACATTGATACTGTTAGAAACTGAAAAATATGGATTCACCTAACAGCAAAGGAACAGAGTCCCACTTCCCTTCATGTTTTAGGCAGAAGATGCGGCTCTCCATGCAGCCTAACCTTCTCCGTCTGTGTGTGTGATGGTGTGTCTGTCTCCTGTGCTTCTGCTCATCACCAGTAGAGGACACTGCCAATTCTAACTGAACTGAAGCCCATTCTGTCTGACCCATGAGTTTGTTCAGTGGTCAAACTCAAAGGTTAAGACACACAACTGATTTATATGCAGGTGTAAATATTATTATTGATGCATAACATGTAAGCAGCATTTAATGGTGTCGGTAGCACATTGTGACCAATTTAAATGCTGCTGATTATTTTACAGTGTGAACTGCAGAATATTAGACTTGTTGATCACATATAGTAAAATGTAACTGCAAGTTTATTTAATGGGCCAAAAAAAATCCTCTAAAGAATATAAAGTCAGACTTTACACCTTACAAAGTGGAAATACTCACATTAAGTTCCAGTACTGCAGTAATGTCATTCAACACATTACTTGACACTTGTTAGTTTCCATCTGTGGAAATTAAATCAAACTCAAACATACATGTTCTCCAGACTACAAGAGCACAAATACTGTGTATAGATCTAAAAGTCTGAGAAAGATCAAATAAGCTAAGTTTGGTTTCTATGGCTGGTATGAATCTGTTAACATGGTTTAAAACAAACCATTTTTTGGAACACACTGATTTCACCTGGCTGCTCTGACCTTTACATCTGAAATGCTTAAAACCAAAACAACAAAGGAATCCTTTTCTGGTTCCCAGTGATGACAGAAGCAGGGGAAAATACAGGCTCCTTGTTTGACTAACAGAAAAGAGAACGAAATTAAAAGTTCCCCGAAAAAGGACAACTGAAGAGGCACCGAGAGATGAGAACAGGTGGGGATAATGGCAGAGAGAACGGAAGGGAGGGCAGAGAGAAGAATAAAGGAGTCTTTACATGTCTGTGGAACCAGCAGCTCGTAGCACTTTCACATAATTTAAGACATATGGACGTTATTAGTATGGCTGTGTGTGTGTGCGTGTATAGTTCTGGGGGTGTGTGTGACTGCGTGTGTGTGAATATTTAACCCTGTCCCTTTGAGCTGCAGGCTACAGAAGACAGTCACGTTTCTGTGGTTCAGCAAAAACTGACTGTTGTACTGAGTAATCCCCACCCCCACCCCCTGCCCTGTGTGCTACTTGGAACGTCCCCAAGTGACACTGCATTAAAAAAAAAAAGTGTTTGATTGGCAGTCAGGGTATGTAGGGAGATACCACGTGTGTGTCTGAGTGTGTGTGTGTATTTGTCTAACCTGTAGTAGCCTTTCAGAGTGTGGGGCTCCCGTCAAGCTTCACATACATACACACAGACTGACTCACTGGTCATACAGTAGCTAAACTCTGCTGCTCTATTTATGTATACATATATGTGTGTGTGTGTCTAGGAATAGGCAAAGCATTCACCCAAATTGACCAATTATGCATAATCCAGTGCAGACAGGTTAAATGGCTAAATTCTTGGTGTTACACAACCTCCTTTGGCTTAATGAATATTTTTGGCCAATAACCTTTCAATCTCTCTTCAGTTCTTTTTTTTCCTGGAGATCCTGATGAAAAAAAAAATTCTCCTCTAGTGATTTTAATCCTCTAGTGATTGAAAGAACCAAGTCGGCAGCTGGCTATTTTACAGACAAAATAAATATCTGTGTTATACATTGAAAGGCCAACAACATAATCTAAAGCTTACTGAATAATCACAAAACCAACCAATTAACATCCAATTAAATGCCTAGCAAACTTTACAACTGAATGAAAAACTGACCACATTACTTAATTTTACCAACTAAATGTTTGACAAAGTAACCTTCTAAATGGCGAACACATGAGTAGACTTTGTTGGACCAAAACTCATTCAGCGTTTTATTATGATACAACCATAGCAACCCCCATGGGTCGATCAATGTTATCTTTAAAATAGTGGAAAATGAAGTCAAGAGATGTATCATTCCTTCAAGTTTCCCCCAAATCCAATTAGTGGTCTCCAAACCCTAACCCTAAGGTACAACATATGAACACACTGGCCAATCCATCTTACCGTAACAGTAGCTGATCATCTAAACTAACTGACTGACTGCTTTGTGTTTTTTCTCAGACTGTTCTGAGGTCAGATACTGTGTGTAATCCCCTGTGGTCAGGGTTGGAGAGCAGGTCATGTAAGCTGATCTGTGTGGCAGCAGAGGAAATGTACTGTAGCGCTGCTAACATCTCGGAGCACCTTGTGATCTGGACTAACCACTCCCAAAAGTGTGGCACATAAAGTATATCTCCGCAGAGTGTACACATGTTACTCACACACTTTCATGCACACAGAACCAGCTCAGTAGACTATTGTTCATTCATTCTTGGGGCAACAGAGGGAGGGAATCAGGGTTTAGAGGAATGAGAAGAAAGAGAAGGAAGGTGGCAACAGAGGAGAAAGAACAGTAAAGGAAAATGGGGTAGAGGACAAAATAAGCCTACAAGTGCCCAACTGATGGTTTGGTTGCTGAAACATTGACCTCAGGAACCACATGTACATTCATCGGCCTGGGCTCAAATCCCACTAGAAAATCCTTTCTTCCCTCTCTACCTCCATTATGACTCAGTGAAGAGAAGCAGGAGCACTTTAAGTTCATGTTCTTCCACCGTGTTTACACATGGACAATATATTTCAAATACACAGTGAAGTCATTTTCTTTGTGTACCTACATGTAGTGATCCAAAGGCTACAAATAAAGCAGGAGTTCAATGTAAGTGAAAACACAATTGCATACTTGACTTTTTTAGGTTAGGTCTAGACAACCACCATTTAAGAATGTCAGTTTACAACATCTGGCCATACAGTAGTTACTAAAAGCAAAGTCTACCCTGTGCATCGACAGAGAAGATGCAGTTACGAGTTCATGCATGTTAGACAACATAACAAACACAAAATTTACTTCTGAATAAACAAAAAAGAAATAAAGTACACACAAATTTACATGAAAATGTTCAGTCCACACCCTAACAGGGGTAGACGCCATCAGTGGCTCTAAAAGTGGACTGAACTTGTGATTGACTGGCTGACTAATCATTTCTTGCTAATATAAAGTGTTGAGATGTTCCAGTCTCAGACCATGTGTACCAATGGCCAAAGTTCCTTGACAGTTGGCTGCATGAGTTTTGGCACAATGTTGCAGACAAAATAAAAATGAGCACATTTTTGAAGAATTTCATGAACACACCGACTACACACTGAGCAACTCCTTGTTAAACAATGTGAGGGACAAGTTCTTCATCATTATATTCTCCACTCTCTTCTACAAAACAGCCAATTTTGTGACTGCTCTAAGGATTAAATGCACATGAATGTTATTCATCCAAGTGCATTAGTGACCAATTCATATTAGTAAAGTCTTATTGTAGTCTGGTCCGCTCTCTGGTTTCCTCTCCTCTCCACTGTTCTCCTCTTCTAAATCATTTCCATACAAGTTTTAGGGGCAGTTTTGGAGGTTAAATCAGCCGACATGTTATTTGTCCAAACAACGCTGATGACTGGTGACCGGTTCATACTGAGAAATACTATGAGCAGCCAGGAAAGACCCCCCCATCCCTTCTCTCTTGCTCTTTCTGTCCGTCATTCTACTTCTGCTGACTGCAGGGGAAACCTCCACAATGTATAAGTCTCCGTAATGCAGGAGCGAGGGAGAGAAGATGAGAGAGAGAGAGAGAGAATTTGGGAAAATGAATGATGAACACAATGGAAAGCCTTACTGTATAACTCAAGTGAGGGGATAAATGGATAGAAAATGTCAGAGATATGACAGAGAGAAGAGAAATATTAGAAATGTACGAGGGTCAGCTGTGAGAGACTCATGACCAGTGAGTTACAGCCACTTTTTATGTATAGCTGTAGCACTATATGTTTTGCAGTTTGCTCATTGCAGAAATTTTGCTGCTCAGTGCATTTAAGAGTTTCAACATTTGTCAAATGGATTTTTGGGGCAGCTGTGGTTCAGGAGGTCAAGCGGGTCATGCCCTAACAGTAGCGCTAGCAGTTCAATCCCAGGCTTCTCCAGTCCAAGTGTCAAAGTGCCCTTGGGCAAGACACTGTACCTCTAGATTACAATTATTACAGTAAAACATTCTTGCTCTTCCTACTATCTGTCACGTTCCGTCAATCAGGATTTGCCATGATCAGAGGTTTCCTAAAGACTGAGTACATCTCTAATAAGATCATCTTTCCAAGTCTCTCATATTGGCTCTGAGGAGCCATGACCGAGAATAGACGAGACCATCTTCACAAAAGTTTTTTGTGAACTGACACACCCTTTTAACAGAAATCAGTTGACGATTGGACACTTAAGATGAAGGAACCTGAGGAAAGGGTGTAAATAATTACTCGAGTCCTCTTGCCTCACATTTTCCTTACATCTTACCTGGGCAGGACCAACTAAGACACAAGGAAAAGACACAAGTGTGGGAAATGACAGTGCTTATAAGAAACTTGGGAGGTACCCATTTTGTTTGTGTGCCTGTTTGTACAGACTCTAAGAAGGTAGGGGAACTGGGAGAGCCAGTCCGTGTGCCTAATCACTACTTGTCCTCTGCTTTGATTTGCACTGGTTCTAGTCACAAGTTTTGAGAGTTTAATGAAAATCTTCTTTGATCTTTACCTGCGTCTCTACTGTATGTGACATGAACAGACAAGTGCATTTACATTATGCCTTTTAAGTGACACATTTTCACTCTTTCTCCCCAGGTGTTTGCTAAAGTGTTCAGCCATGAGGCCTTGGAGTCCTACCTCCCCAAAATCCAGCAGGTCATCCAGGAGAGCCTTCGAGTGTGGAGCTCCAACCCTGAGCCCATCAATGTGTACAGGTGCAGCAGGGGTTCTAGTGTAGAAACATGTTTAGAAAAGGAAAACATGCATTCAGACATCTAGTGCATGTATATCATCTTACTGCCAGTACAAATGCTAACACTGTATTGTAGGTTGTCACTATCTCTACAGAACATTATTACTACAAACTGCATTTGTTATTTGCGATATAAATGATACAATTCATAGAAAGGTCATGAGTAGAGGCATTTTTGGCTAAAAGGAAATGTTATCGACTTAAGTAGAAACATCCAGTCTGCCAATCCCAGCAAGAGTGGCAGCACATACTGTATCTTCTGCTGGATTTTCAGACTACTTATAACAAGATACTGTAGAACAAAACCACACGCAGATGTAGAACTGAGGTCCTGATTGGTTGTTGCTCCTCAGGGAAAGCCAGAGGCTGTCATTCACCATGGCAGTGAGGGTGCTGCTGGGATTCAGGGCGTCTGAAGAGGAAATGAGACATCTGTTCTCAACCTTTCAGGACTTTGTCGACAACCTGTTCAGTCTGCCCATAGACCTGCCATTTAGCGGCTACAGGAAGGTATGTGCTGTGGACATCCGCTACGCCTTTTAACCTGCTTATTTTCTTTGTACAAAAATCTAATCTGGTCTATGCTATGTTTTGTCTTAATTTAATGTCTTTTACCTCTATTTGCCAGTCTGATAAAAGAAAACTATTCTTTAAATATTATGTCACAGTTTCAAAGTTGTATTTTACTTTCTTAGTTGCACAATAAGTACTGACTGCACATTCATATCTGGGTATTATACTGTAAAAATAATGAGCATTGTGGTAGTCAACTTTTGGGTGTATTTGCAGGGCATCCGTGCACGAGACACCCTGCAGAAAAGCATAGAAAAGGCCATCAGGGAGAAGCCACTGTGTTCCCAAGGGAAGGATTACAGCGACGCACTGGACATCCTGATGGAGAGTGCCAAAGAGAATGGCAGTGAGCTCACTATGCAGGAACTGAAGGTAACACACCTAACCCCTATGGAAAAAAATAATCACCTTAGTAGGAGAAGGGGTGCAAACAAACGCTGGAAACGAGCCAGACGCACAAGAAGTTCCTCAGTCATATGTGGGAGCATTAACACATACGGTACAGAAACATGCCAACTCTGGTTCATACCATGTGTGTGCAAACATACACACAGCCACTGTTTATCTAGAAAAGTGCTGCCAAAAACAATTTGTCTGGGCTGACTGAATGCACACACAAGGAGACACATGCACACATATCTGCAAACACATTTTCTCCAACAAATTAAACTGGGAACATAAGCAACCTAAGTGATTTATGATGCAAATCTTTATGACAGCAGTGATCTTACATTGATACCCATATGCAGACGGTAATACTGCAGCAGAAGCCATGCACACCCTCATGGACAGGGAACATGCTCTTTACCTAATACCAAGGAATTCTGTGGAAACTCAACTCATTCCGCTTCTCGCTGGTTCTCTGTGGTTTCTGGGTTAAGTCCATGGCCAAAAATAAGTCAACAGCTAGAGTTCTGAAAGAGGTCCCATGTACGTGTACACACACACACACACTATATATATACTCTCCTGCAGTTTTCTGACGCATGCATGTAGGGTGAGGCAGAGACATGTTTGGACATAGATGATGGCAGATGAGAGGTTCATAATGAGAGTCGTGTGGCCCAGCCTCAGTGTTATTTGTTCCACTGCCTTAGTAATGGGCCCTGCATGGCGCGCTAAATGTTGTTTTTGGATGCAAATTTCATATTTCCAAACACGCTACTTTTCAGGAATTAAAAATAACATCATTCATTATTTACTGTCTTTGACATTTTCTTTTCTTTTTTTGGCCCAATGTTGTTACAAAACAAATGGCTAGTTCGAGGTGCAGGGGTGTGGATTTGTGCCCAAAGTAAGGAGGAGGTCAAGCTTGCTCACAGTTTGGCTTGACAAGAAGATTTCACAATTTGTAAAAGAATAAATTTAATTCAACTGACATCTCTAGGATGCGCAGGAAGATCTGTTTTCTACAATCATACAATCAGTAATATTTGTCACTCAAGTTGGGCATTCAGCAGATATTCACTAATATGACCCTTTAGCACATAATACCGTCATTTATATTTCACCCTCCAGACCCCTGAAGCAATTTGTCTGTGACTAGATGAGGGAGAATCCAGCTGACTTGCCACAAAAAAAATGAAGACAATTCAACATACAGTGGGTATGGAAAGTATTCAGACCCCCTTAAATTTTTCACTCTTTGTTATATTGCAGCCATATGCTAAAATCATTTAAGTTCATTTTTTTCCTCATTAATGTACACACAGCACCCCATATTGACAGAAAAACACAGAATTTTTGACATTTTTGCAGATTTATTAAAAAAGAAAAACTGAAATATCACATGGTCATAAGTATTCAGACCCTTTGCTCAGTATTTAGTAGAAGC